ATACTATTCCTCCGCGATCAATGTCGCAATTTTGCAGTTTATAAGTTGTATACTTGTATATACCAAATTAATAGTTAATTAAATAGCATATTATTATTTAAAATATAAAACAATTACGTACACGTAATTAATTATGTTCTGTTGTAGTGATAGAGATAACCAAATAGTAACTGATATGCTATTATTGAATTTATGTGCCTCAGATATTTATAAACGACATATCTTAAAGAATAATGGATTAATATGCACTATAATAACTATAACATAGTCAAAGAGTGATGTATGTACATAATGATAACTAAAAGAGAGGGGTTTACAATGTGTGTATTTTATTAGCTTAACTTTTTTATTTATATATGTGTTAACGGATAAGAGTTGACATCCATGCGTCTTAGGAATATTATTGCACAGTCAAAAGGTGATGTGTGTGTTATTACAAAAAGAAAAAAGAAAAAGGGTGAGGTGTGTGTATAATAAAACTAAGAGAGAGAAGGGGTTTACAATATATGTACTTTATTAGCTTAATTTTTTATTTATAAATAAGTTAACTGACAGAAGTGAACTTCTGAGCCTCTTACAAATATTGATGGAACAATTCTTAATCCATTACTACTATATATTAAAATTAGTACAATTAAAAAATATTTTTTTAATTTCCTTTTCAGTCATTAGTCCTTCTTCTAGAGTATAGGCCTCTGTACCGATACCTGCAAATTGACAAATGGAATTATATTAAATCATATTGAGTTATTCATAATTTAAAGACCTTCGCCAAATAAGATTTTGTCTAATGTACTATATATCTGAACATAAAATTTATCAATTACACAATATACATTATACCTAGAAATAAAAAAAAAAAAATGCTTATACACAGAATGAGGTAAATGAGCAGTAAGCTTACTGATCTGTGCATATGTTAAGAAATTTTTCAACAGCTCATCACCAAAATTCAGTAATAGATCCCGGAACATGTGAAGATTTCTAAAATGGGCACCTACTTTGCAAGAATAACTTAATTTTATTGTCACAGTGATTCATCAGCTTCTCCCTCACATCAAATGTATCGTCAGTGTAGTCATCTAGCAAGAAAGATTGCTTTGAAAAGATTCTCACATAGTATGTCCAAGCTGAGATTTGTGACAACTGAATCAAATAGCAATTCTCATGAAGCAATATTTCCCACGTACTCTTCAACTATAGGGATCTTGCTTGACAAACATAAATTTTGCAAGACAGTTGCAATATGCTGATATGTAGACATAAGGACTTCATCGAATCTAGCATTGAGCTCCGCACATTTCTTTTCACAATATCTATCCTACTCTTCCGACGAATCTACTGGATTAGACTTTGCCTTTATTGAAGCGGTAAACTCTTCCTCAATTGATTTTGCCTGAAGAGTAAATGTTTCAAATCCCAAGTGTCGTATTCAAATTACTAGGTTTCACAAGGCTGAGTCAAAAGATTGGATACCTTCTCAATTATTTCTTGAAAATGATGAATCTGATGGTTGTATATCGAGACTATTGGTGTAGTCATGTGAAGAACTACATCTCTCTTACAAAATTAACATTACGGATTAGAAGCAAAGTTTAAAAAAGATAGCTACCAATCCTGAAAAGGAGCATATACAATCTTAAAAGAATTTGATGCTTGATGTAGGTTAGCCTTAGCCCTTAAGTTAATTAATGATGTGTATCTTTTAAGTTTAATGACAATTTGAAGGCAGTGTAAGTTCAACAATTTTTATTTCATATTTTCTTAACGTGGAACATAACTTGCAGGATTTTGGACATTGCTATCATTGAAGCCACAAATAACGTTGGACAATCATCAAACCTAAAACTCTCTGTTAAATGTATAAAGGTTGTTCCAAAACGTATGTGTGCTATATGCATTGCCCCTTGACAGCATTGAATATTAAATCTATTAACTCCCCTAAACTACTAAAACTTAGATACACAGTATAGTTGATAAACTAAAAATTTCAACCAAGTTCAATTAGATGATCACATTCAATTGTGCATCAAATTAGTAATATGTTAGTTAGGCACTCCTTCAATAGCAACATAAAAGGCGGAAAATTTTCTTGAGTAGCCAAAACATAAGGCATTCTGTTTCACGATATGCTCCATTCTGAGTCACCGCATTCGCTGGTAACGACCTTCCCTCCATTTTTTTCCCTTTGCCTTGTCCTCTTCTATGTTAGGATGCAGTACGAGAAATCAGTCCAAATGGGAATAACAACGTAGGTGAAGTATTTTATGTCATCCTACCACTAATAAACAGTACTTTCGGTTTGCTTAGGGTGTCAGAAATTTGCCACAAGGGACAAAATTGACGACAATGTTTTGAAAATTGTGTTAAATTCAAGAACGGGAGGAAAATGATTCACACATATCGACTGGTTAAATCAGTAATTAAATAGAATGATTCATTCACAATTCGGCCTTGATCACCTACACCTGGGCCATTATTTATATATATGCCTTCATTCTTAACATTATTATTAGCATTTTCACCGTGGTGAACTTCTATATTCCCTTTCTCTTCTTCTATATTCTTCACCTCTGACTTGGCCTTCAATACGCTCTGGGTTGCTCCATTGCAGCAAACGCTCTTCCATCTCTTGCATCCTTCAAGCGTCTTTTGGAGATTATTACGATTTTTCATTTTTTCCATCTGCCATAAAATTGCATTGAGGGAAGTCTGTGCAAGGCGGGGATTTGCATCCACAGCTGGGGGTTAGTGAGGTGCTGGATGATCCGGAGGATTGGGTGCTAGTCTAGGGTGAAAGCTGTATCTGAGACGTCATCATTGCGTACTGCATCATAATCAAGCGCAACATCATGATCAAGCTGATTAGGAGGTTGATCCATCTCTATCAAAACAGGATTTGCCGACGGCGGCAAGTGGCTACTACTTCTAATATTCACCATATCTCGTAGTGGGAATATGAATTTATTAATTTTTCATAGACAAAGCCAATGTTTTGTCCTATGGACATATATGTCTAGTCAAGAGACTAGTGGATTGATCTTGTATCTAGATACTCTCTCAGATATTTATAATGTTCTGTCTTAGGGACAGACATGTCTAATCAAGAGACTAGTGGATTATCTTGGATCTAAATGCTCTCTCAGATATTTATGGATTAGACACATTTGAGTATAGCAAATCACTGTGTATTAATAACAATGGTGTTAACCAAAGGGTACTGTTGTGTGTGCACAGTGACAATATAACAGTATAGAAAGTAAGTGTCCATACACGTAGGTTTTACATCTTATTTATAGAATTTACCTGTGGGTAGTGAAATTTTGGACCTTTGATGCCTCCTCTAAAAGTCCATGTCCAGGTTTATTGTTGTCGTATTAGGATTAATATCTTGAATTGATACTTTCCTTATGTTATATTAGTTTTATCTTTTTATTGTCCATTATTGTGCTTTATATAATGTGATTCTCTTACATGGTCCATAACAATGTTAATTAATCTAAAATTCTTTCCATACTCTAAAATATTCTCATATATAGTAGTATTCAAATATATATATATATTCTCAGAGTGACAAGCATTATTTTATCCATAAAACGTTTTACATTTTTAACTAGAGTTTATGAAAATATTTTATATTCAACTATACCCAAGGTAATATCCCTTCTTTTCCTCTCTCGTTTTTTTTTGCAGGAAATTTTCCTCTCTCGTTATCTGCTATTTCAACATGAACAATAAGTGAGCAGTGCTAGAGAAACAATTTATAGATAGAATTGAAACAAAATTAAATGCAAAGTAATTGAATTTAACGTGAAATTCATAAGAAGATTTGTTAACTTGGCCTTAATTGCATAAATTATCATAGGTTGGCTAGTGATGATAAAGAATTTGGACCATGTTAAACGACTAGATAAGGAAAATGGTTTGGCATAAGGAAGAATCGGAATCCACTTGATTGAGGAAGAGGCCAAAAAAACTCACTAGCTTTATAGCAAGTTTTGACTCGGTCAATCTATTGGGAAACACTTGCATTGACTCGGTCCACTAAACTAACATTAGACACCACATATTTAGTACTGAAATAAAACTTCTCATCATTTAAGCTTAGGGAAGAGTCGATAGCTATAGTCTCCCCTTAGAAGCTGGCTACTGAGTCCGAAGCAATTTAATTGACTTGGAGAGAAGGCAAAACAACTTAGACAAGGTTTAATCTAAGCAAATGTCGGAAGAGAGGCCATAGTAACAAGACTAGAGACCGAGATACTTACATTGATTCAGTCTACCTAGATCGAATGATTAAAACTGACATAGAAAAATTGATGATTTTAAAAATATTAATCTGCACCTCTTCAAAATTAAACCAGCTGCTTTCGTTCCACTACTCTTGGTTGTATATACTTGTACTTTACAAATAATAATTATTAATCGAATGCTATACTTTAGGTGAATCAAGCTAATTATTCCACAAAAGATAAAGTATATTGGAGAACCTTAGACAAAGTACAGAAACACAATTATTCCATTATATATTGTACATGAATAACAACAGTATTTCAAACCAACCAAGTGACCAACTACTACATATATATAGTCTCCAACATATGACTACTGGAGAGCAACATTAACCTCAAACAACTAGGAAGTTGCAACCATTAGCTAGCTAGACAAGGTACGAAGTTCATTAAAAACCAAATCTACTGTGACATATTACTACTAGAAAAAAACTTGTATAGCGACGGAATTGCTATGCAAATTCTGTCGCTAATTTCAACCTCGATATTATTTTTCATTGCAAATTCCCTCGCAAATAATTTTGTGAAGAAATTTGCGACGGAAAGTAGTTGCGAGGATGAAATTAACGACAGAATTTTCATAACAATTTTGTCGCTATACAGATTTTTTTCTAGTAGTTGGAAAGACAAGTTTTTTTAGATAAGACTATTGCAAAACAATAATAATCTCAAACCACAAGGAAGTTCTACGCATGCAGGATCGACTAATTAGCCCTCTCGTTGTTGCTGGGGATCATTAGGTTTCTTGTTCCATTTCTCCACACACCAATCAAAAAAGCGTATCATGAGGAGTAAAGCAACGACTCCTAACAAGCCAAACCAAATCAAGAGAATCAAGCCAGATGTCATATCCCAATCGCTAAAACTATCTGGGGTGACCATTGACATGCCATACAAGTAGGTAAGGGCGAGGCTTGTGATAGTGATACACATGCCTATTGATAAGAGCCAGATGGGGCATCGGTGATTCAGAGGGATTCCACTTACAAGTAAGAGACAAACACTCAGAGATGAAATGAAACAAATGGTGTTACATACAAGGAATCTCTCGTAGCGTCCTGGGAACCTAACAGCTAAGATAGCTTCTCCGGGTCCGGGACATTTATTCGTCATTGCAAAAGTACAATCTGTAACATCTTTTACATTATCTTTTGTTGGCATAACACCACCCGGTGGATTAATAACAGTTTGAAAGGTCATAGTTGAGATCACCGTAGCCACCAAACTAAGGTTCCCTCTCATATCCTTCAACCATTCATCCGGGTTCTTATGTGCCATAAAAGTTTTTACCGGATGTAAAATATTTCTCCAGCCTTTCTTTGGGGTTGGGGATGTCTTTTCCGGAACATTGACAATGGTTGTGGATTGTGTTGACCTCGGATGATCACGATCTGTTTCAATGTTCATTGTAATTTTCTCTCCTTCAACAGCAGCTATAATAAACAAGGGGAGAAAAGCTGTTAGATCTGGTTGGGATTAAAATGACAAATTCCTTCTAAAATTCGTCCTTCAAAAAAATTTAATTAGTATATATCACTTTCAGCTATAGTTTTTTAGGGATATTAAACATTAATATTAAATTTCATTTTGTTATGTTCCGCGACCAATTAATTAACATGAACTATTCGAATCGTGATTGATTATTTAATGGTGATATATACATTAACAGTATACCAAATTTAACTTAATAATTTCTTTTCTTATTAAAGAAAAAAACTCATTCAAGGATTTACAAAGAATCAATGTAAAAGTTTAAACTAGTAACTAGTAATTAAGGAAGGGCATTCAACAATTTTAATATTGGGAAAAAGGTGTGTCATTTTACATAACATACCTTACATCTTTCCACTCTCACAAAGAAGTAGGATCCACACATTTAAAACTTTTTTTGCTCATTCTCTCTCATGATTTATCTCTTTCTCTCATTTAAAATGACACAATTTTGTGTCTTTCGAAATAATCCACATTTTTCTCTTTAATATTATATCTCTTTAATACACTTTTCCGCAAAAAGCCGTTTAACTTGAAGTTTGGATAATATACATGATTCGAATCTCTTTTTAAACTATCATTGCACTTAGCTAACTATTCCGTCTCATATAAATTTTCGTACTGTTTAAATTGTAGTTGGGTAGCTAGCCTCCATTTAAGGAAAACAAAATAGAAAAATGTGTATCATTTTAAAGGATATAAAATTATGTTATTTTAAAGTAGGAGAGAGTGGACAAAAAAATATAAATATGTAAATCTCATCTCTTTGTAAGAGTGAAATGATATAAATTGTGTCATTTAAAGAGACAAACACTTTTCCCAAACAAAATATCAGAAATAATTTTACAAAGTGAGTCTTTGCGCGTCTTTTAAATCTCGAATATGCCACTAACATTATGACGACTAGTTGCATTGGAGTAACTTGTTACTATTATCATTTTTCTTTGAAAAACATAATATAAAACTATTATTATTATTATTAGGGCCTTTTGGTTATATTTTCTTTAATTATTAGCTTGATTTATTTTTTTAATGATTTTCTTATTTTATATGTGTTTATTGTTGGTTGGTTTATATATATCTATATTTATTTTAGGGGTGGTTTCTTTTTCTTTTAAGAATAATTAATATTAATTGGATTGTATTCAATTATTTTAAACTTTTCTAATTTAGACTTATTAAAGTTTGATTGATTTATAATTAACCTATGAAATTGATATGTTTAAGGCTCTATTATATTGTTGAATTTCTTAACCTATCGGTTTTTCGGTTCGATTATCGCAGTTTGGATCGGTTGATGAACACCTCGAGATATGTTCATCATATTTAAAGATTGTAGTTGACACTTATACCCCTAAAAATTTCACACTCCATAACTAACATAATTAATGCATAAGAAGTACATGTACAAGCACTGCGAAAATTCTTTAATTAAGATACTAAAATCATACGCACCTTTACTAACTGTAGGATGATAGCTCATGTCGAAGCCAAGTGGTGAAATGTGTTTTTGAAGCCAAGTGGTGAAGTGTGTTTTTGAAGCCAACTAAGGCAGATATATATATATATATATATATATATATATATATATATATATATATATATATATATATAATTGAAATGTAAAAGCCACAAATATTGAATATCTCACTTTTTCTGATTTGCTTTTTACTGATTATTGTAGTGTTTTGTCCACGTTAGGAGACTTCACAAAGTCTCCAAGGAAGAGGCCAAAACCATTGAGACAAAAAATATATATATATATATATATATATATATATATATATATATATATATATATATATATATATATATAATTTACGCCCTTCCAGTGCATATTATGGTAAACATTTATTTTAATTGTAAAAAATTTAATATTAAAATTATATTTATTAAATGTGTGGTTTAATCATGATGGCTTGCTAACTTCGTGACTTCCACTTGAGTCAATTTAGTGCAACATCCACTTGAGTCAATTTAGTGCAACAGCTTGATGATTCAAAATGGTCGAATTTAATGAATATTCTAAACTTAGATCATCATTTAAAAAATATTTAAATTAATGAACCCATATGCTTTTAGAATGATATAACTTTGAATTCTAATAAGTCGGAGTGGATTTTTTCCGTAAAGCTCAAATAAAACTTTTATAATTTTCTTTTCTTTTCTTGGGATATTACAACACCAGCCAAGTGATTCTAACCATATTGCTTACGCTATAGGTTCATAATAGAAGGTGTCGAATATGCACGAACGAATGTGGTTTATGTTCCAATATGTCAGTGTTTTAATTGCCTTAGCCGGAGGATTAGGAGTTCTGAAGTCCCTTTTCAATATTGCATCATGGGCAAAATTAAACATACATATAAAACATTTGGGCTTATTAAATGTTAATGACTTGTATGATGGTTTGCTAACATTTTTTTGTAATATTCTAGAAAAATAATAGTAATTTATAGTATAATAAATTAATAATGATAATAAATTATAAATTAGTAGTAATAATAATAATTATATAGGATTAGATGATAAATTGTGATTGTTTGAATTTTGAATTGATTGGTCATTTATGCTTTAATGTTATTATTTGATTGGTAATGTTTGATTGGATTACGATGAGTCAGCAATATTCTAAGCAATAAGAAATTAAAAAAGAAAAGAAAATAATTGTATGAAACTCATATCTAAGCCCAAAACAATATAAATAGAGACCTAGCCTAACCAAACCAATTAGATACCACCCTTCGTTTATGAATTCAATTATCCAAAATCCATTTCTATGCAAATAATTTGAAGTATTTTAATAAATGCATGCATAAAGGGTGTGGTAATATTTGAATGCTAGTTTTTCATTATTCCAATTTCATCAAGCTTGTTGACTTGACTTTTTATGCCATTACAAAGAATCATCTTCCTTAATAATCAAGTAATTTCAAACAAAAAGATATTTTTAGGTTCCAAGCAAGTAAATGAGACAATTAAGCACTTCTCCAGGCATAAATTAATTTGTATACCCATATGTAGTTGATTACAAATCTTAATTGTGCAACTTGTAAACCCATATATAATTGGTTACAAATATTTATTTTTTCATTTGTAAATCCATATCCAATTGGTTGCAAATTTTATTTGATCCATTTGTCAACCCATATTAAGTTAGTTAAAAAACTTTTATTTTCCATTTTTTAATCCACATCTAGCTGGTTCCAAAATTTCTTTTCATCTATACCGAGATGAATTCAAACATTTAATTTTCAGGTTCAAAGGCCTTATATTTTAAATTCGTATTATTTATTTTCAAGCTAAGAGGCTCATCGCATTTAATTTTTTAGACTAAGAGGCCTTGCATTTTAAATTTCTGTTATTTAATTTTGAGTTTAGAGGCTCATTACAATTGAATTTTTAAGCTTAGAGGCTATGGATTTTAAATTTCTGTCATTTATTTTTTAACTTAGAGGTTCATTGTATTTAATTTCTAAACTCAGAGGCCTTGCATTTTAAATTCATTTTCGAAGCTCGTCACTCAAGTAAAATCCTATAATTTTTTTTTGTTTTCTTTCTTCAATTACGTCGCTCTCCTATAATGCCATATATATGTGTGCCTGTTTGGATCCTCTCTCTTTTTAAGCTAGAAGCTACTTATAAGTATAAGCTAGGCCAAACAGATTTTGAGAAAAGCTCTTATAATGAAAAACTCTCTTTTTTATAATGAAGATAAAAACTGAAAACTAAAAGCTCCTCCTAAGAGCTTTTATTTAAGTTCTTATCTGTTTTTCTTGAATTATCTGATTTTTTTTAAAGTGAAGAGTTATAAAGAATCATTAAAGATAGAAAGGGAGATAATTTTCTTGAAACATGTGCTTTTAAGTATTTTTTAAACTAAATTTTTTATATAATTACCAAACAGCTTTTAGCTTCTTTTTTTAAATTTTAACTTATAAATAGCTTCTAGCTTAAAAATAAAAGGATTCAAATAAGTCTTCTAATTTTAAGAATAGTCGATTCAAATGCAATTGTTACATATTAGTTTTTGTAATTAATGATCAGCCTTTTTCTAAAACATATGGGTCCGCATGCATTCTTGTTGCTTTTCTAGCTGGCATCAATTTTTCTGCGTAGTAGGTACAATTTTTCGTTTCCAAGTTTAAGCGTGTCTGTCGTATCTCTATCTAGATGTGTTTACCATGATCTTCTATATTCTTGACCTTTTTGTCATCAATCTTTCTTTTTGCGTGTTTAATGTTAATTGTCATATCCCACTCCTTTAGCATTATTTTATTTTAGTGCCTAATCATTTTATCTATTCTTATCATTCGATGCTAATTAACATCGTTTTTCTTTGTTTCATTTTGAAATTTGGTATGATTCCCACGGTCTATATTCTCCACCTTTTTTGTTATCAAGCTTTCTTTTTGCTTATTTAATGTTAGTTGTCATATCCCACTTCTTAGCATTATTTTATTTTAGTGCCTAATCATTATAGTTTCTCTTATCATTTAATGCTAATTAACATTTTTTTTATTCTGAATTTTGGTATGATTCTCACTGTCTACTTTAAGATTTCAAACTAAAAAACATGAACTTTAGGTCTGTTTAAATATTGTTTCTAAAAATAATTTTTTGGTTTTTAGAAAAAAAAAACAAAAAAACTCATTTGATAAGACTTATTTTGTAAAAAAAAATTAAAAATTATATGTATTTTTTTTGTTTTTAAATCAAATTTAAAGAACGTGTTTGAGTTAATTTTGTTTTGTGTTTTGACTTTTGACTTTCATAACAAACACAAA